GTGGCCGTCAGGTACCTGCGTTGCATCTCACAGGTAAGAGGCATTGTGGCAGTGCCCTCAGTGGTGGTTTCGGGTTAGGCACTGCCAGCCTTAGTTTTCCTTGATGGAATCTCCTTGTTGAAATCAAGGAGAGACTGGTGATTTCACAGGGGTACAAGGTGTTCAGACTCAGCTCTGCAGAGTTATGCCTCCAGTGTGGTGCAGAGGCTGTAGCTGTAGGTTGTCCTTATAATTTGGTACCCTCTCCTGCCTGGGCAGCCTGGGGCTGCAGAGCAGTGACACACAGCCAAACTGTATCCAGGGATTTATTCAGAGCAAGTTCAGAAGGGTCTGATGTGGATGTTACTCAGTAGCTGGCAGGCTCTCCTGTTGCCTGCAGTTGCTCTTGCTTCTTATTATAACATGTGAAAGCAACGGGCTGATAACCATCTATGCCACTTGCCTCTGCCACTTGCATGGGAATAACCAGTGTGTGTTTATTAACCATCCCAGGGAACCACAAATGAAGATGTGCCACTAACTGCTTGTCCTGTGTTTAATTCCTCTCAAGCCCTCTGCTTCTGGCTGTGCTGGATGGTCTGACCTACCTGTCACTCATGTATTCCTGTTTAAAAGCCTGATTTCCTTAGGGCAGACAGGGGTTGTTATCCTGTTTAAGAGAAATGGAGCCACAGGGACTTCTCTAAAGACACAAAGCAGATTTTATTGGGTAGACCCCAATTACCAGCTGCTGGGAAACACTGGGAGCTACAAAACAAGAGGTCCCACCTAAACACCCCTGTCTCAGGTGCTCTTTTAGGGGGATGCATTTACAGGGGGGTTCACCCTCACAAGCTCTGCCTGCACAGCCTGGCAGCAGCCTGAGTCAAGACTGATGGTGAACGAGACAGACTGGTCCTGGCTGTGCCCTCATCTCACCCTTCCTGTCAGACCCCATTAATAGGGGAGCTGTCACTGCTGCTCGCTCACAGTAGATGTTACTGAGTCCAACAGCTTGGAAAAAGAGTTAGACAGCTGCATAAACACAGAGTATCTGGAACAATACTGCAAGTCAGAGGACACAGACTGTCCTAGACCCAGGTGAGGTGCAGTCGTATCGGAGGCAGGACCAAGGGCTGGACTCAGGATTCAGCCTGGTGTTATTTATGGTCACTGCCTGCTGATGCTCTACCAGGTGAGAAGCGAGAGGTGCTGCCTATGTGGGTGCACTGAACAAAATTTCAGCGTAGGTGCACTGATGTGGTACGTAGGGTCTCCTCATCCAGCTTGCAGTGTAAACACAGCCAAATGTCAAATGGCCCAAAGGGGAGCCAGGTTTGTTCACAGCCTGGGGCTCCTGCTGGCTGGTGGGAAGTGTTGGGCATGTGCTCTGCCTATCTGTGACAGGTCTGGTTCCCCCTCATCCCTGCAGGCCCTGGGCTGGTGCTTTGTGCTGCTGATGACCACGCTGGCTTTCTTGGTCAGATCCCTTCGGCCCTGCTTCAGCCAGGCTGCCTTCCTGAAGAGCAGATACTGGTCCCACTACATCGACATCGAGCGCAAGCTGTTCGACGAGACGTGTGCGGAGCATGCCAGGAGCTTTGCCAAGGTCTGCATCCAGCAGTTCTTTGAGGGCATGAGCACAGACCTGGTGGCTGCTCGCTGCCACCTGCCCAGGAAAACCTCTGAGGATGCTGGGGAAGCTTCCAAGAAGCTCTTGGGCATCACTGACCGGGGCACCATGAACATGGCCCTGAAGAGCTGGCACAGATGCAAACCCCCATTACACCTTCACCCACCTGCCCTCCCCAGTAGAAATGGCTGGGCAGGAGAAGGGCAGCCCCCCGTGCACCCCTCCACACCCCGAAGGGAGAGAGCTGCCTACTACAGCTTGGTGTGAGGGGGCGCAGGGCTATGTAGAGGCAGATTGCACTTCTGGGAGATGGGTTGCAGAGGGGACAGACAGGGCATTCAAGCCAGGCAGAGGCAAGGGCCAGCACCACAGCAGCTGCAGGGGAACAGGCATCCAAAAGTCTCAGTGGTGCTGGTGCAGTCCCATCTCCTCTCACATCCAATCCTACAGCATTGGTAATTCAGGCAATGAGTTTTGTGCCAAGCAGGACAACTATGCAAGGTCGTGATGGATGAGCCCTGGGGATGCTGAAGGGTGCGATGTAGTAGTCAGATGTACCGTGTGTCCCACACCACCAAGCACCAGGTTGGTGTTGTGGTGGTTGCCAAGAGAGACATGACCAGATGTGCAAAACTTCCTCTCTATTATGATGTGCTTGGCACTGAGAAGAGCATGTGGGTTTAGGCAGTATTAAAAATACCCTGGTGGAGAAACAAGTTGGGGGTGTCCCTTTCTCCTGCCAAGTCATGAAACCCTAAAAGTCTTCCCATTCTACACATTCTTCCACGTACTACATCCCCACAGACACACAGCTTCCAGGCCAAGAAAAGCTTTAAAATAAATTTGACCGAAACAATGAGCTAGTGAAGGGATATCCCATATGCCGCTACATGTGACAGGAACAGCATGATTAGTGTCATAGAGACTATTCAACAAGGAGTCCATAGAGATGCTCCTTGAAGGAAATATCTAGACAAGGAGAACAGTTATCATTCAGCAGCGGGGGGGTGGGGAGGGAATGGGCCAGGCCGAGATCCTGCCACAAATCTGCCTTAGGATGGTTTGTTCTTATAATTTTTCCTGTATTCTTCCCTGACACAAAGACTGTTGTTAAAAACCACCTGGGTGTTTGTTTAAGGAGATAAATAAATAATTAAGGCTTGCTGTTCAAGCTCTGTGTGCTCAGACACAGGATTTATAAAAGCTCTTTACAAAAGCTGTTGGTGTTTCTTTACTTTGATGGGATGAAAAGGGCTGTGAGGGCCCCAGGCCAAGCCCGAGCTGCTGGGGCTGTGCGAGCTGGGGTGTTCTGCTCAGAGGAGAAGTCAGAAGGTACTGCCAAACCTACACAATACAAGGTGGCTGCCCATTTCCACAGAAACTGGGGATGATGGGATGCAGGCCCTTGAGATGACTATGGAAATCTCAGCCCAGAAGAGCGTTTCCCAGTGGCCCTGATTTTATTGCCAATATGCAGAAGGAAAACCCCTTTTGAGGGATGAGTTTTACCTCTGCTGCATCCCTTCTAAGATGCCCATCCCCTTGAAATTTCTGCTGTGGTATTCTTGTTCAAACAACTTATTATGGCTGGCTGGTAACTGAGGTGACTGTCATTTGCATAAACCTTAATTATCAATGTGTAACTCCACAGTGGCTGTGGGGAGAGGAGAACAAAGGACCAAAATGACGAGGAAATTCTCCTGGCTGCTGTGAGAGTGCCTGAGCAAGCCCATAGTCAAGGGCAGGCTGAATCTGGCTAACTCCCAGGAGAAAGGAGCATGACAGTTTTGTCATTAATCTTCACACCCCAAACTTTAATTAAGACACCTGCCCTGAAATTAATAGGCACAAAACCTGATTTACATAGGAAAGGAGATTAAAAGATAAAGGCGGTTTCCACTCCTATTGTTTGCAGTTCAGTGCTGTTCGTGGCTCACTGAGAAAGGCACGTTCTGAGTCTCCAAGATGGTGAGGAGCACGGAGGGATGGCAGGCTCCATGGCACAGCCATTAAGGTACCAAAATAAAAAGCATGTATTTGCAAAGGGAAGCTTTTGGACTTTTAATTCAGATTTTTAGGATTAGAGCTCCGCCCTCATGCAGCAGCTTCAGCAGTTGCAGAGAGTCCTCATAGACCAGGCAGGTTGTCCTCTCTGTGCTGGATTTTGGGGATGTTGTTCATTGCCTTTGGAAGGAGTCCCTGGGGAACCTGACATGGCCCCAGGACTTCATCTGGGCTGTGGTCCCGGTGCTGAGCCTGTTTAGCAGCAGTGCCCTGAGTGTGGAGCAAGCCCCAGGGTCCCCATCAAGCCAGAGAGCCAGCTCCAGGCAAGCGTGGAGGTGTGGGAGTGCCAAGGGGGTGGCACCACACCCAAACAACTGGGAGCTGCAAAAACCCGCTTGAGGACCCCAGATCTGAGGGCAGGAAGGAGGACTTGGTCCAAAATCCCATCGGCTGAACTGCCAATGCTGGGCCAAGCCTAGATTTGCTCCAGGCAGAGGGGAACGTGGGTGCGCTGAAGATTTGCCTGTGCTGAAGACATTCTCTGGGGAGGGCAGAGTTTAACCCTGGGGACAAGATGACAAGGAGGCTGGGGAAGGAGGACGGGGGCCTCCAGCCTCTGCAAGAGGCTGGGCAGAAGCTGGAGCTGAGGGACAGATGGCAGAGAGGAGGGAGCAATGCAAAGAGAAAGTGAGGTGTCCTTGGCTGCCTCACAGGCATCGTTCAAGCAGAGGAAGCAGCAAACAAAAAAGCTCCGGGCAGGAATGCACCGTGCTCACCAGACAGCAGGCTGTGCCCAGCCCTGCACATGTGGCCCCCAGCCCTGTTCAGCTCTCAGCCTGCTGCAGCAGCCCCACTGCTCAGTCCTGGGTACTGGGAAGCAAAACTTGGCCACCCCACAGAGTGTGATGGCAGGTTCATGCTTCTCTTGAAAACCCAGCCAGGTGGGTGCCTTCCCTGCTGTCTCAGCCAGCTACCATGTACTAAAGCAGCAGTTCCTGCCCCTTCTCATGGGACCACAGGATTCCCCCTGCCTGCTTAGGGTGGCTCCCACCAGCGTGACTGCATCCCCTGGGGGCCATGGGGGCTGCATCCACTCCCCAGGCTGGGGGGATCCACCATTTCCCCTTTGCACCCCAGCAAAGCGCCTCAATGCTCCTGTTCTCCAGGGAAACTCCAGGCCATCCCAGCCAGCCATTGCACAGCTGCATCGCGGGTCTGAAAAAGGGCGATCAGCTTTTTCCAGTGACTCATTCTCTGCTTTTCATTTCCTTTTTTTTTTTTCATTTTAAAGGCACAACCTCAGCCTTGCACGCAGCAGAATCCAAGCGCCGCTCTTTGCCCCACCCAAGAACAACTTCCTCCCTCCTCCCAAAAGCCAAAAGCGGAGGGCACGTTTCAAACTAAATAAGGAAGCCTTAACAAACTCTTAAGGCTGTTTTCACCAGAGTTCATTTCACCCATCAGGCCGGCCTCAGCTGCATTCCCATTTCTGTACAACCCCGTGCGCTGCTGGGAACCCACCACAGCCAGAGCCCCAGCAAAAACCACGTGAGGAGCTGAGAAGGCTCCAGAACTGGTTTCAACAACCTTTCAAGTAAGTGACTTAATTTTTTCTCGTTCTCATATGTTTTGGGGAAAGACTTTAACAGAGGCTGCTAAAAAATTATCTGCTGCAAACAACTTTTCCCCTCCCCTCCTACCCAACCCTCTTCCCAGACCATAACTACCAAGCAGAGGCAGGGTAACACCCCCCCACCCCCCACCCCAAAACTACATACTTCCATTTGCCAGCTCTTCTGATTTTTGCCTTGCTGTTTGCCAGGCTCTGTCAGGAAGGTCACAGGTCTGTGTTTTTCAGGGTTGTTTGCAGGTAACTGATAACAGGGGCTTGAACTACAACAAGTTTGCGGGTTTAGCATCTGGCTGCAAACATGGTGTTCCGCCAAGTGCAGCAGCTGGAGATGGAGGCCTGGCTCCGCACCAAGCGGTGGCAGTTTTCAGCTGGTCTGTCTCCTTTGCAGAGGGAGTTTTGTAAATGGAAAACTGGGAAGCTGCAGGAAGACGTTAAGGGCTGTTTGCAGTTGAACTCGGTGTGATTTTAAAGGGTTTGCCACGGGTTAGACAAAACAAAGAACAGAGGCCAAATTTCTTCCCCCGTTCCCCTCTGCTGTCCCATGGCAGAAGGGGGTAAACCAGGATTTGTCAGGGCAGCAGATGAACTGTGGCACAGTGATGTAAAGCACAGTGTATGAGAAAGCCTTGTACAAGAGATCATAAGGATTAAGGTGCCTTTGTCTCTTCTGAACGGAGGTCCCTGAAGTCTTGTCCCTGCAGTTGGGACTGGCCCAGGGAAGCCTTGCTCCGTGCATACCAACTGGGAGATGCTGGCACTGGGACAGATTTCAGGGCAGCCTTGCTGTGGGTCAGGCTCCCTGGGAGCCTCGGATGTGTGCCAGTGCTGCCAGCACTGCAATCTGCCAGAGACGGTTAGTGGGGTGCCTGGGTCCTTCCTGTCTCCAGCAAACCCTGATGACAGCAGTTCCCCTAAGGCCAGCAGGTTTCATCACGTGGGTGAGGGTTCCCAGAGCTAGCAAGGCTTGAGGCTTCCTGAGATGAAACCTTGTGGGGATAGGGTGCAGACAGAAAGTCAACTAAGAACTTAATAAAATCTATCTTGCAAGTGGGCTGGAGGGATGGACATCACTGCAGAGAGCATGGATACATTCCCCAATTATTTCCTTATGCTTCAAAAAAATCAGGGCACATACCCTTGGTCCTGAATGCCTGCAGCCCAGTCAGTGGGGTATAACCAGTGTTGTGCTGGGGGAAGCTACAAAGGCAAAGGGCAGTGAAGCGCATCTGGCACTGAGGTGCTCAACTCAGGAGCTCAATTTAAGGGCAGCAGTTTTGACTCTGAGCTGGGACTGCAGGCCAGGACAAGGGAGCATGATTATGTCAACCAGCTGTGGGAGAGGAGAAGATCATCCTGCCACACCTAATCCTAGCAAAAACTCCTACGTAATTGCTGTCCCAGCTCTATCAGCATTTGGTGTTTGTATCCCGGGTCATCAAGATAAGCTCTTTTCCCAGAAAAGCTGGCAGCAACAGCCCCTAAGCATCCCCTCACCCCTCTCAGTGGAGGCTGCTCCTGCCTGGGCCTCCCATACCACATCTCTCTGCACCCAAACCTGCTGGGCTGTCTCACAGCACCCCTTGCTGCCTCCCTCATATACCTTTGCCTATTAATTAAGTCATCAGGTCTAAAGAGGGAGGCAAAAGCCACACATGGCACCTTCAAGGCAGTGCGGCACCAGCACCCACGTGCCACATGCAGCTGGGCTAGTGTGAGTCAGTGGCAGGGCTGGTGACACATCCTAGTGCCAGTGCTCTGGACCAGTTTTCCCAGTAACATGGTGTCCTCCTTCATTGTAGGTCTGGGAGATCATCAAGAGTCTGGCAGTGACACTGACAATAATTGCCTCTGTGGGAGGTGACTAAAACCAAAGAGATGGAAAGACGACGACCATGCAAATGACAGGGACAGAAACAGATGTCCCACCTGTAACCTTTGCTGTAGCAATGCTTTTGGAGAGCTTAGTGGGAAACTAAAGTGTCAGAAGTTTCATATATTGCTTAGGCTGAATCCCTTTTCAGCCCCTTTTGAAGTATCTCTTGTATCAGCAATCAACTCCAGAGGCTGGGACACCAGGTAGGAGGAGGGGACATCAGTGAAGGTGTCTTGCTCCTGGAACACCGCCTTGCACGTCAGCTGGCACAAGGCCTTTCTACCTCTCATTGGAGTGTTCCTTGGTGCTGGGAGGTGAGCCAGCACAGCCCCCCACAGCAGCACACACCTCCTCTCACCCCCGGGACGAGATGGCCGCCCTCATCGCTGAGAACTTCCGCTTCCTCTCCTTGTTCTTCAAGAGCAAAGACGTGATGATCTTCAATGGTTTGGTGGCCCTGGGCACAGTGGGGAGCGAGGAGCTCTTCTCGGTTGTTGCCTTCCACTGCCCCTGCTCCCCTGCCCGCAACTACATCTACGGGCTGGCTGCCATTGGTGTCCCAGCCCTGGCCCTCTTCCTCATTGGCGTCATCTGGAACAACCACACCTGGAACCTGGTGGCCGAGTGCCACAAACGTGGTGTCAAGAACTTCTCTGCCGCTGCCACCTTCCTCCTCTTTGGCTCCATCATGGGCCGGGCAGCTGTGGCACCCGTCACCTGGTCGGTCATTTCACTGCTGAGAGGGGAAGCTTACATCTGTGCCCTCAGTGAGTTTGTCAAGCCATCCTCCCTGGACAAGTTTCCACCTGAGTACGGGGCTGAGGTGCTGGCCAGGTTCCCCTGCAGAGATGTACCAGCAAACCTCACCAAGTTCAGGGACGAGGTGACACGGAGGCTGAGATACGAATCCCAGGTAGGCACGCCGGGGAAAAGCCACATGGAGTGGGTAAGACCACCTTGCCATGTCCTAACGCAGCCTCTCTCTTCTCTCTCAGCTCTTTGGCTGGCTGCTCATTGGCATCGTTGCAGTCCTGGTTTTCCTCACCAAGTGCCTGAAGCACTGCTGCTCGCCACTGAGCTACCGGCAGGAGGCTTACTGGGCCCAGTACCGCTCCAATGAGGACAAGCTCTTCCGACGTACAGCCGAGGTCCACTCCAGGATCCTGGCAGCCAAGAATGTGAAGCACTTCTTTGGCTTCGTGGCACTGGACAAGGAGGAAAAGGAGCTGGTGCAGGAGTTCCCGGTGGAGGGCGTCCAGCCGAGCCCCCAGTGGAATGCCATCACAGGCGTCTACATCTACCGGGAGAACAAGGGCTTCCCCCTCTACAGCCGGCTCCACAAATGGGCCAAAGGAGTGGAAGGGAATGGGCCAACCCCAGAAGGCCATGAACTGCTCTTTTTGGCTTCCTAAGACAGATGGGTGCTGGCAGTGGTTCCCCAGACTGCCTGGCAGGCCTTCCATATCAGTGCACAGTGAGGGATTCACTGGGAACATTCCTCCTGGAAGGATTACTTCTCTCAGATGGCAAACAGGGACGAACAGCCTCAAGGTAGAGAGTAGAAAGCAACACATTGAGCTGGGGAACCCCTCCCTCAGAGACAACAGTCTCACTGCTGCTCCCAGAGACACGGGTGAGCAAAGAGAAGGTGCAGCCCTTACCTCCAGGCTGTCAGTGCATCCCATCTGATGCTCCAGCAGAAGCCTTCAGGAGTGAGAGATGGGCACATTTCTCACTGCGACTCCTTCATTTCTCACTGTGACACTTGTCTCCCCTGTGGCAGAGTTAGCCCCAGCCATCCCACACATCTACTTGTTTTATTGACATTGGTATCTTCTTACCACAGTTGTGCAATGCCTGTTACACAGGCAGGCCCAGAGCACTTTACAAACTTTACAGTACAGGGAAAAGAGGGAAACAGTAAATTCCTGTGGAAAGGGGGATGCAATATCATCTGGGAAGGAACGGATCAGTAATATAGCCACACACCAAATAACTGAAAGACTAAGGCAGGAGGAATCACCAATATTCCTGGTATTCAGAAAGGCACTCTGTAATTATTAAGTTGAAATTTGGGTAGGACACCAACCTCCCTTTGTTGTTACTGAAGTGCCTAACAATTGCCCAAATGGTCACCCCCCCTTTTATAAACCCAGGGGAGGCCATCAGCAGAATAGTTTTTGGGCAAAGTGGTGAGGTGGAGGCTGAGAGGAATCACTACAGTGAGCCACACCACTGTCTGCAGCTCATTGAATTTCTCATCCAACCATCAGATAAGTTGTCTTTTTTCGGGTTGCAATTTGCAGGATGACTTCAACCAGAATTAGTTTTACATATATGTATATATAAACATATATATAGTGTATATACTACCTAACTGTAGTTAGTTAGTTGTATTAATGGAGCATCTTTCTTGGAGGGGAAGGGGGATGAGAAAGGTGTATGCAATGTGCTTTTTTGGCTGGCAGCTATCTGCTGCACTGGGACTGCAGCCCTGGAACAACGAGGGAAAGAACAGGATGGGGAAGCAGCTCTCTCCCTACCCTTCTACCACTGAATTTTCTAAAACTTTTTCCACTGCCTTAAATGGTCCCTGTGAACAGAAGGTCTCTTTTATAGACTTGGCCATAAGAAGGGTGTAAAATTACTGCCCTCACCATGACAGTGTGACTATGGTTTCATGGCTGCTCTTCTGGCATTCTCCCTCTTCTCCCACGGATCAGCCCTATGTACACAACACTGTTTCAAGAGCTGGCAGGACAGTGAAATTTGTTTTTCCTAGTTGTACTGTTTCATTTTAGGTACAACTTCCTTTTACACTGTACCATCTACCAAAAAGCCTTAAGTTGTTAAAAAAACTGCTCGAACCCACAGAACTCAGAGGGGCTTACATACAAGAAGATTTGAAATAAATTATTAAATGAGTTATTTTTCATTGCCTTCTGAGTTGGTTTTTTTCCAGGGTGGCACAAAAGGCATAATTTAACATTCTCTTTGAACTGAAGAACTGGGAACTTATTTTTTCTTTCTATTAAACATTCAGATCCTCTCCTATCCAGATCATCCTAGAATGTTTTCAAGTATTACCACATATTACAAGTTAGTAACACGGCTTTTTAGTTATTCTTGCAGTGAGTAGCACAAATCTTGTACATCAGGATACACAATTGCAGTAAAGGAGAGAAAATTATTTAGAAACTTTTTTACAAGTATGGTGCCTTGCAAGAAACAGCTGGAGGGTATTCCCTGACATAAAGAGGCTGGAACAACCACTTAATGGGTGAGGCATGGCAGGATCCCTGTTCAGCTTCTCTACAGATTTGCTTTGCATTTGTGGGAAGGCTTGGCTCCCAGCCTCATCATCAACTAATCTGCAGAAATGATCAGATGGGAGTTAAATGAAATTGCATTAACTTGAGATGAAAGAGAATTCATTTGCATTTCTTCTCACTGGCCCTCGAGTAGGAACATGCAGACATGCACACCACCCCCACACAGCCAGCAGACACAAGGTAACTTGCTGGAACAAAGCACTGTTCTTCTTATTTCCTTTATTTCTCTTGCCTTTCTCCTTGATAGTCCTAGTTGTTCCTTTGAACCACCTCCACTCTGGTTCCTTCTCTTTCCCTTTCCTCCTTTGAAGGAGCAAGACACGTAATGCTTGAGAACTGATTTTTATCCTAAGAATAAACCATTAGCACAAACCATCTTTTGCTCTGTTTACCTCCCTTCTCTTCTGCATTAAATCCAGTCACTTTCCTTGTGCTGAGATGGGCTAGAGGCTTGTCCAGCTTGTCCGTTTTCCCTCCCTCTTGTTGGAGAGGCATGTTTGAGTGGAGAGCCGACAGTGAGGAAGCAAGCCACCACACTCAGAAATAATTGTTTGCAATTGTGGAGATTTGTTTTTTCTCCTCTGCCACCTTAAACATGGCCCCCACTGAGGCAACCTTGGGCTTCTGCCCCTCATGGACCACCAGCACCCCCATGATTATCCCTGCTGTTCGTGTCACTCATCTTCCCCCAGTGACAATGCTGAGGTGAGGAACATTAACCCACATGGCTTTACATACTGGCACAAGCAGCCAGGCTAGGATTCTCACTGAGAAGCCAAGAGGGAGATTAAGCCACCTGTCTTCCTGGTGTGCCAGATCACACAGGCTATAAGCTCACACCCTCTGCTTTTCCTCCAAAGACTGACAACAACCCATTGCAGAGCACACTTCCCAGCAGCAAGATGGGCTCAAACCAGGCTCCTCCAGTACAGAGAATTACATACAGGTCTTTCCCTGCCCACTGTAGAGACTGTAATAGCTCCAGTAATGAAGAAGAAACCATACCTCAAAGGGATCTTGGTTTCTATTGCAACGCTTATTTACGTGTTCTGTTATGCAACTAATTAAACCAAAAGAAACACCCACCATCATTGAAGTTGTGTTCTTTAAAAAAAAGCAGCAGCTGCTACTGGATGGTGCAGTCAGCTTCCTCCACTACAAGAGCATTAAGCAAAATCCGAATATAGTACCCTGCACTCCCTGGGGGCAAGAAGTGAAATTACTTGTTTCTGGATCCCAACGGATTTGGGAATGAAATAAATGCTGACTCATTCAGCCTTGCCAACACTGGGCATTCACAGAGGCAGAAGAGCTGGGTCCTGCAGAGCTCTGGTTGTGAATTCAGAGCACCTACAATCAGTAAGACTCCTCAAGTTTGGTATTTTAAAGCTGGGCACTCACTCACTAGTGTCTATGCTGGGTAATCACACCTGTTTGCATACCCTGCTTCTCCCCTCGCCTTGAGCTCTTCCTCTGTAAAACGTGGATGATCACATCCACATCTTAGTGGAAAGTTACAAGAATAGAACCATAAGGATATGGACCATAAGGCACTGACATCAATGTCAGAGCCTATGCAAGTAAGCAAGACACCTGGCTTTTTCCAAGCAGAAGGTTAGATTGGGATGACTTTTTTTCAGCACGAAAACCCCGCTTTTTTCTTTGACTTCAGTGTTTTGTTTTAAGAGACAGTGACTACTGAAAATAACAATTTTTTCTGTCATCAATCCCTGGCAGCTTGTTACAACAGACGGTTGCTCAGAGAGGTTGTGAAGTCTCCATTCTTGGGGAAATCAAAACCAAACAGGATGTGGACCTGAGCAACCTAGCCTAGCTGACCCGTTTTGAGGAAGAGCTTGAACCAGATATCTCCAGAAATGCCTTCAAACTTCAACTATGCCACAATCCTGTGCTGCTCTGACAATTCCTAGGAGCACAAAGGCACCTGAGATAGATCTTTTGAAGTGTTAATTCATCCAAAAGGCAAGAATCTTCTCTGCTATCTTGACAGTGAGAGAAATCAATTTATAAGACATTATTGTACTTAAAATCAGTGCACCATAACTGCACTATCTCCCCCAGAAAGTAGAACAGGTATGGCTGATATTTCTATTGAATATAAAACAGTCTGTATTTAAAAATGTGTCATCAACAGAGTAGGATTATTTGTAACATCTGGACAGAGCTGCAAACCTTTGCCAAATCATTTCATTTCATTGTTTGTTCTTTCCAGGCTGGTTTGGTCATAGACCAACACTCTCCAGAAATTCACTGTCCATGGACAGTCACAGTAAAACTCCACACTCTCAGTTCCCACACTGCACGGAGAGTCAAGTCTCTCTGCTTTTACTTGCACCATATTTAGGTGTCAGTAAGGGAACTCTTGGTCTCCACATACTCAAGTGCTGCTCTTTTAACAGCCAGGACACTTTCTGCTGTACCAAATTTCTTTTCATAATCCAGGTAGCGTTTGAAGAAGAATTTCATCTTCTTTGGTGCCAAGCTCAGGTGTATGACCCTCTCAAATATGTCCCTGCAAGAAACCAAAGTGATTCAGATCGCTGTGTCAGTGGCAGCACTCAATACAAGCCCTGTACCCTGTCTTGACAACAAGCAGAAAGTCAGGGGAAATACACAATCTGCTGTGAAGTGCTTGTGCTTGAAGAAAGAGATTCCTGACAATTGGTCAAAATCTCTAAGTAGAAGCTTTCTATTTGCTTTCAGAACTCTAAGGCTGCTGGTCAACTTAAGCAAAGATCCATTCACTGTATTGGACCCTACTTCATTAAGTAGATGTGGAAAATTACTTCCTTTCATCAACTCTCAGAAAACAGAAAAAAAAAGCTACGATATAAAAGGGCTTGATCTCACCCTTCAGATATAAGGCAATCCCTCTAGAGGGACTGATCAACCTCAGTGCAAGGCCTCTAGTTTCTGTCATGCAGGCCAATCAGACTCCCTCTGTCTTATGGAACTCTTTGGAGTCTCCTCAGTCCCAGCAAAGACTTTGTCTAGGTGATAAAAATTCTTTTTTGCTCTGCTCTGGGAAGTCCTGTACAACCTCACACTGCAGGGCACCTCTGCTCTTTTTGAGTGTCCCTCCAGACACTGTGTTCTGCCCCTTCCCAGCCTGGTGCACCACAACTCACCGTACTTCCTTCTGGCTGCCATGTTTGATCATGATGTCCATGTAGATGGACCAAATGTCTGTCCGCTTGGGATAGCTACTGAGTGTGCTCTCAAAGAGGGCCTTGGCATGCTCTGTGTCCTCAAAACGGAACTCCAGCTGTGCAAACCTTGAAATGACATCCACATCTGGAACAAGTAATGATATCTTAGGGTATCACAGCAGCTCTCTCCATATGAACAAACACAAGTGATAATGACACAAACAGAGGCAAGCATAGAGACAGAACCACCTCTACCCAGAGATAAAAGGCTCTGTTGTAAAGTGGTCCTGGACTAAGGTGGGATCAAAGTGGGAGAGAGAAGGGTCACAGTTCACTTCCTATTTCAGCTCTCTGCAGGAGAGGTTTGTTCTTACATTCAAAATGTATCATGCAGCATCTACGGGCAGCCCCACAAACCTAGGACTAGACCAAGTGAACAGCCATAAAACTCAAAGTTGCCTTTGCTCTGAGTGCTTTGCCTTTGTGTATCACAGCAAATTCTATTACAGGTGGATTTAGCATTGACATTCAGTTTGATATTCCCCCTCCTGAGAGACAAGGGCAGCATGTTCAGCATCAACTGGTTGCACTTTTTACTTATTACAAATGGTGTCACAGGCAGAGATATCAGAGAGCAGCCCTGTCTCCTAGAGACCTGTCACCATTAAGATCCACGTTAAGGATGGGGCACAGTGCTTACGTTCTTTTGTGGGCAAAGCCTTC